TCTTACTCCTCTTATTAGGGCAATGTTGACTGCTTTAAAAACGTTCTGGTTAGTGTTACTATACTGTTATATTATTGTGAATATTGTAAGTAGTATTTTTGGTAGTAGCATCAGCGATATTAATGAATCCAGTGTTAAACGTGCTCACTACTCTCACTCAGGTAACTAGTTAAATTGGTTACATTTCTTCACCTCTCTGTTTATATGACATGCCATTGTCCTTACAAGGCCTGAGTCACACGGTTGTGTGGTGTCATCTTTTAGAGAGGTAAGGGGTTAACTGCTAACACAGGGTCAGAGGTCAGATGCTGTTAAGGTTAGATTGCAGGCGTGACTGCACAAGTGAGCAGGATAGGTAATAACTTGTGTGTATCTATAGAGCTATAAGTTCAATAAATCACTTTAAGGGGTGAGATTCATGAATACATGTATATGTATATATATATATATACATATACATGTATGCATATCATATATATATATATACATATACTGTATATAGAATCAATGCAGATAGAGAGAGGGAGTTGTAGTGTGTGTACAGTTTTTCTGTCTGTAAATAAATGCTACAACTCATTAAGACTGAAGCCCACTGGTCTTGCCAGCCACCTGCAAATTGCAATAAAAGGAGCAGAACAGGGCCAGGCCAACTGAAGGTGCTCTTTAAGGTAGACCAGCTATTCTCTTTCTAGTGACAAGTGTTTACCAGCAAAATAAGTTTCTTTTATGATTTCCCAAAAGATATATGTTCTGTATGTTTCATATTCTTGTGATTTAATAAATGTAACACGATGTTGTATCGTTATCCAAATAATCAATATAATACTGTGAAGAAACTTGTGATTGTGACAAAGAACGAGATGTCTCTGTTCCTTTTGGCTGTTTGTACAACAGGACTTTAAGCAGTGGATTTGCACTGTAGGCTCGCTTCATTCATTTTTCTTGGCACCTACAAAGGGTGAGGAAATGAAGTGAGTTTTCTATTGGGATGAAGTAATGGCAATACAAAGGTCTGGAAATTGCCCTTCATCTCTTCGGTATATTTACAAAGCATTCCATTATGGTTCATAGATTTAGGAAAACACCATTTGTTTAATTCATATACCATCATTTTGGTAATATGATATACGCCAATGGCTTTCCTATGAAAATAAGGATAACGTTTCTACATTTTTCAGCAACCTTTTTTTTTACTCATAAGAAAGTGAATATCCCCAAGGTCAACAGCTCGGCACCACAGAGTACTGGTGCTGTGCTAATGTGAACATTTTGATCTGCAGATGGTTCACACCCGGATTGTTGCAGAGAACCCGTAGATCCCCGTGAGTTGAGGGGACGCTCTATTTTTAGGAGGGGCTGCTGCAGGGCTCCTTGAAAAGGCATCTGAGAGATAACTGCTTGTGTGTTCCACTGTGGTGGGCAGGGCTATTTTATAGATGTACCTTCAAAATAGTGTTCATGTTAAAGAATATAGTTGTTGCAAGAGATACAAGATCTTTGTTTCGCTATGGATTGTAGTGTCATGTAAACATGGGGAGGTTCTCCATTTAAATCCCAGCAACAAACAAAATGTGCACTGATGAAGTGTCTTTGAGCCAGACAGTAAATGTGTCTCCATTAGCTGTTTGGGTTATGCTTCATGGTGCATCAAAGAGCAATGCTAAATATATATACTATCAAATAGCTATAGTGAATATGTGTGCGGGTGGTAAGCTGCAAACCTTTGTCCATGGTCAGTGTGTGTTCTCAGAAGCACAGACATGAGAGCTGCCTGCTGGCTACGACCTTTGGGACAAAGACAGTAGTGGCTGTCAGCCGGGGAACAGACAGCAGAGAGGCTGATTGACGATAAGGACAACTGCTGGTGGAGAAGACGGCACTGTACGGGTAGAGGGACAGTAGAGGCACACAGCAAAGTGACACTCAATATCATAGAAAGGAACCTTTAATCAACCTGAATTAGATGTCCTGGGTTTTACCCTCAAATGGCACACATTCTTTAAAAGCACAACATGTGAAAGCATGGAGATCTGGACCTTTAACATCTTTACTGCTAGTTGCTTGAACATTATCTGGAGCGTAGGAGTGAACCTCTGTATCCACTTACAGTTTCATGAATGATTTGTTGCTCACTGACTGACAAACTGGCACTTAGTTTGTGACTGATGGCAAGGTATGAACATTTCAAAACTAAGGAAATGATGTAGTTAGGGACCCAGTGAGAAAACAGATCAATGTTACCCTGATTACTTGGAATGTTGGAATGTAAAGGATAAAGATGCAATTTGCTTCCCTGGCAAAACTCCCAAGTACATGAGAGCAATAACATCACATAGATTGGACCACTCATTATTTATTTTATAGACAGGCAGATTTTTGGACCCTTTTCAAAAACCACTACAGATGTCCTAGTTCCTGCAGCCTCAATGTCTGGAACAACCTGCTGGATTCTACATCTGGCCCAGAAGATCATCTCCTGTCTCCATCTGAAGTCACTGTGAAGAGGAAGTAAAGACACTGGATCCATCCAACAGGTGCTGGGGTACAGCATTGCACTCTGGGTCAGATCAGGAGTCCGGACCCCTCCCAGTTCCCCTGCAACCCCTCCTCCCAGCCGTTTCTTGCTTTTGGACCATTGTCTTTTCCATATGGTTCCAATCAACTGGGCCTCAGGAGTCAAGACTTTCCCTCCTAAATTCTTGTCTTTATTGGTTAGCATGCCCACTGTACGCCCCCCCCCAAAAGACACATCTTCTACCTTCAATGGCCTCGAGACAACGGTGTCTAAAATCCCTTTTCTGGTCTTCATCCAATGTTAAGTCAGTGATCAGATTGCAATCTAGCCATATGCATTGAATAAAAGAAGATCTGTGGATTTTCCAAAGAAAACTTCATGAATATTTGATCATAAATGCTAACCCCAAAAATGTTTGGTATCCCCAAAGTATTTTTTATTTAAATACAAATCTTTATGGGACTTGGACTAATGGGAACCCAGGCATAAGGCCACAAAGTAATGATGTAAGGTTATCGTCCTGAGGAGATCTAAGAGCTTTGGAGGATGTGTTTGTCTTGGACTCACAGACACACTATAAAGCTACTGAGTCAGGTCCTTAGAAGTGAAGAATGTGTGGCTCCTGTGGATCTGGAAACTGCTGTTGGTTTTACTCTCCTGTCAAGTAACCCCTAAACCAAGCAGGTCACAAATCCAAAGTGCTTCTTTGGAAGTGTGCATGTTTAGAATTTGCATCATTCTTTTCTTATTTTAAGTTTATTTATTGCAAGTTCTGTTAATCACAATTTTACAACATTATTTTATTTGTAATAATACACAGTCAAAGATAAATACAGGTGCTTAGACCATAATCATTATAACAGTATATAGTACTGTGTTGTAGTATCATTTGTATTACATTTGAAATAAGTTATAGAAATACATCAGAAAGCATGTAAATCAATCCAACAGAGAGACAGTGGAGGGACAGCAGTGTGGAATCAGATGGATTCAAGACTCAATCCAACAAATGCTTCAACTTTTTTGTTAAATATGTTCAGAACAAGATGAGAATAAATCAATAAAAAAGAAGATTCAACTCAACCAAATATAATGAATAGCATTAAGACTGAAACAGCTAGCATGACACTTTTATAAAGTTTAGAATATATCGCGTTGTATCTTGTTTGTTTAACTCTTACAGATATAATATCCATGTCACATTTCTTTACTTTGAAAAGTCCAATCTGCCTCTAGTCGTCATGCTTACCCAACTGTGAAATGCATAGACAAATGAGCACACTGTTCCTTAATGTTGCAACACTTCGTTTGTTTCAAATCCAACTAAAGGGTTTGGAGTTGGCGTGTGATCCGACTGAAAAAAGTGACTTGCGTTGATTACATTATTAAGAAGCAGCACTCTTTCCAATCTTAATGAAGAGAGAATAGTGTGACATTGGCTACATGTGCCTTTTATTTTTCCACATTATAGAGTTGAGGAAAGTAAAACAATGTTATAAGTGTTGTGCCAATAAAACACCCAATTACTGTAGCACCCTATGAATGTTGCAAACCTGAAAGAAGGATCCTCCCTGTCTTAGCCTTATGCCCCCTTCTCTCTCTAAATCAATTACTGGTAACCATGGAGGCCTGGTGAAAGCAGTCTGACAACAGGCCTGTTTCCTGAGAACACAAAGGGCCTTTCATTGGCCGATGCCCCAGTCAGGACTGAAGCCGTCCATATGGGAGCCTATTCTGTGGGGTTCTGATGTGAGAGGAGAGAACCGTACTGACGAGATGTATGACATCACCTCATAAGTGTGTGTGTGTGTGTGTGTGTATGTGTGTGTGTGTGTGTGTGTGTGTGTGTGTGTGTGTGTGTGTGTGTGTGTGTGTGTGTGTGTGTGTGTGTGTGTGTGTGTGTGTGTGGAATAATAATAAGAAGAAAGTTGTTTTTGTATACCCTTGCCTGATGTGATAATGATAACTTGGTTTTCGTGATATTGAAATGGGAGCCTATAAACATTAACAGGGACCTATCATGCAAAATGCACTTTTTGATGTGTTTTATACCTAAATATGTGTCCCTGGTGTGTCAGGGAACTCAAAAAGTGTCTCTATCCCTCCGTACCCAGATCTCTCAAAACGGGGGTACAATGGAGCTGATCCAGATTTGCGTCCGATATGACGGAATATCTGAAATGTGGACCCACGACACTAAAAACGTTGCTATCAGAAACAATGAGCTTTGACCCCCTGTGGCCCCCCTCCAAAAGAAGGGTTTATAATGATAATACAATTTAGGGTAGTGTTGTGTTGTAACTAGCGGAAGGTATTTTGTTTTTCATAATGTCATTTAATACAATTTTAACTACTGAAACTAATTTTGCCACGAAAACCCCAAACCATCATGGTATTTTATGTTTTAACTGTCACTGTACCCCTTGACACTGTGCACTACCACAGGACATGAAATGGTCTCCTCCTGTCTCTGTGTCTCCTGCAGTATTCAAGCAGCAGGTCCACAGCCCTCTGGAGCAGCCCAAGAAACAGAAGCCTGGAGGGGGGGGGGCCCGTCCCCTGTCAGAACTGTGGCAAGCCCTGCAAAGGAGAGGCTCTGCGGGTCCAGAACAAACACTTCCACATCAAGTGCTTCGCCTGTAAAGGTATGTCCCCGCCAGCTGTTACCAAACAACCTTCAAGTTCCACACCCTAAGAGGAGACCATAAGACGGGAATGTTGCTTGTAAAGTAGGAACATAGCTAGTTTGGACCTTTTGTTGCGTTCAACTGAAAACGTACCAATATCTACCATTTCTAGATCGAATATACAAATACTTTCATAAGTAAAAATGAGCTTACCACTATGGTGAAATCATTCAAATGTGGATTTTAACCAATGACACTAACGTCGTTTATCTTTTTGACTAAGTATTCTGAAAAGTAAGAGTTGTGGCAGAAAACGATTGATTTTAACTTTTTAATAAGATAAAATATACATTAATGAAGATCAATTACTGTTAAGGAACTGATTTTTACATGGAGCTCTTGAAGCAGACACAATAATTAATAGCTTTTTCTAAAAGATAATACATTATGACCCTTTGGGGAATAATATAAACTTATGTCTATTTGTCAAGATTCTTTTGGGAGCTTTTTATGAAAATAAATCATAAAAACGTACTTAAAACAAACAACTACGGGTGAGCACAAAGACGCTGTGTTGAAAAGACATTCATATGATTCCGTAGAGGTCAATCATTGCTCTTTTTGAGCAATGATCTGAAAGAACCAAAAACATAAAAGAAGAAAAAGGCAACAAACAACAATCTACTGTTCAAATAAAAAGAAGCTAATATGGTGAAACATTAGAATGTACCCATGGACAAAATCACATGGTGTTTTAATGTGAAGACGCTAGTCAAATCTCAGCGTCAGGTGACCCATGATTGTACCATTGTGGCTAAATGGAGGTTTCAAAAATGTCTACATTTGAACTTAATTATACGTATATTTGTAAAATAATTTAACAAATAATATAACTTTATAAGGTTTCGGGGGAGGAGATAATCTGGCTTCTGTTTTTAATGGGAAAGATTACACCCAGCATTCATTCTTTGGACAACTGACTCTCCAGTTGTCATGGTAACAATTGCTATAGCTATAGCTTGGATGCGCAGTGATGGAAACATGACTCTCTGATAGACATGCTAATTTCCCCCCCTTTCCATTGCAATGCTATGGACGCGCGTTTATGGGAATTTATGTTTTTTATTAACATACAAAACATTTAAAATGTCCCAACCTTAAAGCTACCAGACTGCTGATCATTGTAAAACATATAACTTTATTCAAACTCAACAGAAACAAATTAAATAATACAAACGTATTATTACCGTCTTTGTTAATTTTTGTACTGTTCCAACAATCAGAACATCTGAACATATGTTAACCTGTTAAGCCCCAAGCCTGTTTTTGGCTGTATTTGCCGTTTCTCTGGAACCCATTGGTTGATTGACACCTCTTTTTAACCGTTAGAGCCAATAGAATCGAGGGGAAGTTCCTAAATCCATCTAAACATTTCCATTGAGGAGTGAGAGTGATGCGCACGCAGTTTGCCCAAAACCGGAAGCTGGGTTGTAGCTCGAATAGCAGCTAATAGCAGCTAATATGAAATCTCCGTTTTTGACAAAAATAGAATGATGGATTATCAGTAATCATTTCAAAGTGACACAGACACATTGGATTAACCTTCAGCAGCGTGTTTCTCGTTGTAATGCCATTGAACACAACTTTTGATCAGAAACAGCAAAAGGTAAGACATATTTGCAGTTACCTTGGTTGCTGATTGGCTAATGGTTACTCAAGCCAAAAAATCGTTATGACATCATAAAGTGGCCAAAATCTGATCAGCTCATTTTCAGACAGGTTTCTATAGAAATGGATCAGGAGAAAAAGAGAGAGAATCTTTGTTCCTTTTTCCTTTACACAGAGGGGACACATGTTTATGTATAAAAGACATGAAAAAATGGATTTTGCATAATAATAATAATTTAAAAGAGCGACTGAATTAGTAAAAAAAATGTTTGAAGGGTAACCAATGTTACTTTTTTACCTTTCTATCGTTCACTTACCTTGCTTCCAGTGCTGGACATCTACACACCAGGAACTAGGACAGAGAAGCAGGCTTCTTCCTGGCAAAAGAAACAAAGTCTATCACATTCTTTCTAGCAGGTTCTCTGTATTTAGCAAACCTGCATATACCTGCTTGTTTGGGTGGAAATATTATACGTGTTCTCCATTATTATAAAGTTATTTATAATAATACTGTTATTGGTACTTGGACAACAAGAGGAAATGTGCTAAGAGAGTGAATACGGATGGGTCAGTAATGTCTAATGATTGTCTTTAGATTGTATGAATGAGTGTGTATAAAGCGGGTTGGTGTTTGTGTGTATTTTGGGTTGAGTGGTGAGTGTCAGATACTTTAAACGTGTGTTTTATGTGTGTGTGGTGTGGTGGCTGTGACTGAACTTTATAGCCCTGTGTGCGCCCCTCCCAGCCCAGACCCTCAGCACGAGCCTTGTGTCAGATTTCTGTTGTTGTCAACACATTCTCAGGTTGCTAGGCTACCATTGGTGTTGCAACAATGTCGGCAGCTCCCTGAGTTTATCGCCTTCAAACTTGCACTGACCAGCAGACTGCCTGTCTGTACACCCTGCCCCCCCCTCTCCTCCATCTTGAAACATGGGAGGACATAGCAGGGTGTGTGCAGAGCCGATAGATGACGCATGTGTCATCTGTTTGTCATTTATTACAACTTGGACAAAGTAAATAGTGAAGATCAGGGAACATTTTCACAATATTTAGTCCAACAATATCACTAGTCAGACAATCGGTCTGACCCTGAAGCTACAGACACAAGATACGCCATTTGCTCTTTGACCCCAGAGGTTGGGCGCAGAGCCTCGTGGTGAAAACAGCTGGTTGAGTTTGGTTATGCTTTCCTCCCCTGCTAGCTTCAAGGTCATTGGTAAACGAGGTCAAAGTTGAAATGACTTTATTTTGGAGCGCAGCACTCGCCGACAATTTGTCAGTGAAAGCATGAGTAGTCATGCATACAATAAGTCCAGTACACCTCTTGCTCATACAGTTCAGCAGCATCTGTAATAATGATTATAGGCGACATGATGAATAGTCCACAATGTTGCTTTTTAGGTATGGTTCTGATTTTACTTACTTAAAGCCACTTAACACAGTAGAGTATATTTTGTGTCCCCAGTGGTAGTATGAAAAAAACATTGTGGCAGAAATCATGCACCATTCATTTTATTAGGATATTAATCTATAAATATTTTTACAATAATACAACTTTAACTTGTACTTCTTCATTGGCTTATGGTTTATGACCTAATCCATGATGTGTTATTAATTTTGTGTAGCTATTAATACTGTGATGCCTTAATAATTGGGCTGAGTTTATTCCTTCATGCCAAGCTTTTATCTTTGACTTAGGTTGCAGCCACACGAGGACGATAACGGAAACGCACCGAAATCGTAATAAAAAAAGTCTTCCGTCCACACGCAATAGGCACCAGAAACGTGTCTGTCCACACGAGACAGCTTGAACCGCTGGAGATGCTGTAGTACATATGCCGGGCCTGTAAGTGGCGCTGTACTTCTGCCACAAAATACACCAAAAGCAGCGAAGAAGACTTCTCGCGCATGCATGGTTGCCATGGTTGCCCTTCTGTTTATTCTCCGCGCTGGATTTAACAGCAGAGGTGGGGTTTCGCCGGTCAACATGTCCGTTAAAGTTGAAATCTTCCAGACAAAATTAGAAAAGTGCCGGTCAAAGGTCTTCTTTGTTATTTATTGAGCTTTAAAACAAATGAATAACGACTCTATATAATAATAATATAAGAATAATACACCGAGGACGGAGCCTCTCTTTTCCTCCCCCTCTCCTGACAGCCCGTCAGTATCCGTGGTCTCATGCAGCAGCTGATCCAGTAATGAGTGACTCGACAGTAAAAATAAACATATTTATAACTAGTTTAGGTAGTTTGAGAGGTAATTAAAATAGCTAAGGGTGATGATCTAACTTGAAGTGTGTGTTTTGTTCTGCACATCGCTCCATCACAGCGGGCGGAGCTGCAGGTGATCATGCAGAGCTGCAGGTGATCATGCAGAGCTGCGTGTCTCCTCTCCTGTCCGATTAGACTTCACTCGCGTTTATGTCCATCAAAACTAGCTGGAAGCTCCTGCTGGGTGCACTGTCCTGTGAGATACCGGGACCTGGCTCGAAACACTGGGGCTATTGCGTCATCGTTAGCAGGAAATTATCAGTTATAGGGCGTAATCACAGAGCCGTTTGGCCCCCCAGAGCGTTTCGTCCGCAGATCTACCCACATTGGGACCCGTTATCATTATCGTTTTCTGCGTTTCCATGTCGGCCTCGTGTGGCTGCAGCCTTAAAAAGAAATGAGCAAATTGTGGTAATTACACACCTTTGGGTCATACATACAAATGACAGATGTTAATAGCTGAAAGTCACTATTTCACAGTTACTGGAGGTCATGATTAAAGGAACAGAGCATGTTTTCTTCACTAGGAAAGTTATGTGGCTGTCAAACTCAATGTCATCACGGGCCACATCAGCATTATGGTTGCACTCAAAGGGCCGGTTGTAACTTTAAGACTATACATATATAAATATTTTATATATATAAAATAATGTATTATATTACATTATTGCCTCTGCATAGGATTATTATCGGATAGGGTAATAACTCCATAATTAACTACATTTTGAACATTAACATAAAACATAAAAAAAATAGGTAAAATTCTGAGAAAAGGGTTAATTCTAAGAAAAAAAAGCATATTTTGAAGAAAAAAAGGCAAATTCTGAGAAAAAAGTCAAATTTGAGATGCATTGTGCTACATGTAGTTTATGGGCAACGTGCTTCTGTAAATCGCCATGTAACCGTATAATAAACATATTATATTCTTTGCAAGCTCTTGTGGGCCACATAAAAGATTTGACCCCCGGGCCTTGAGTTTGACACCCCTGTTCTAAAGGCTTAATTAGTAAGCATGGGGCTGGGAAGTATTAATACCGTTTAGAGCAGGGGTGGGGAACCTTTTTCCTCTCAAGGGCCATT